GGACTACCTGTAAACATGTACATGTATCTGGACATACATACATACATGAAACCAAACAAGCATACTGGTGATTATTTCTAGATATCCTTTAAAAACATTCTTTTACACCACAATTCAGAGATGTTTTACAGTTTTAGAGACAAAATGTTATCATGCTATGCCAGGGATCCTTTGTTTTGTTTTGTTTTATAGTTTTATAAGCTGTCCATTCCAAATAACTCTGGGCTGGTTACATACATAGACACACACTCATGTTAAACACCAGACAATCAGCAACATAAATATTCTAAAAAACTCCCAAATTAATTTGGCATTCTAAAAACACATTGTGGATGCTACAGCTGCCACTGAAGTGGGAGTTTGCTCATTACAAAATGGTTGTCATGGTGGCATGGTCAATCATATACATACAAACATACACAAAACTTTCCAGGTGAATCACAATACCTTGAAATACAAAGAGAGGACACTGATACCTAGTGGCATAATAGGGGGAACTGCAAATATTGTGTCTTTCTTGTTTTATAAATACAGGTAGTCCTTGTTTAGCAACTGCCCTATTTAGCAACTGTTATTCTTTTTAAAGCTTTTTTTATAAAACTTTATTAATGTTCAGTAAAGAGTAAAATATAAGGAAACATAAAAAACAGAGAAACAAACGTTCAGAAAAAAATAAAATTAAAAGTGCAAAGGAAGAAAAGAAAAAAGAAAAAAAAGGAGAGATTACTTCTGACTTTCTCTGTTACAGAAATAAATATAGAATACATACATCTTTTAAGAATACAACTACTATAAAGCACTTCTCTAATCCTAAACTCTATTAATTGCCTAACCCCTAAATCAGCATGCCATTTATATAATTCCAAGCAAAAAAGAAAAACAAGAGCAATTTCCAAACAGAAGCAAGGCTAAACAAGGCCTTTTTATCTTAATATATTTCACCCTCCCTGCTACTTCCATTATTATAATCTTCCCTTCTTCAATCATGAATATCTCTTTGTTTCGCCATCTGTGTGCATATAAAAATCCCAATACTATTATTGTATACATCATCCCTTCCCAAAGATAATAGAAAGCACTTTCATTTTGCTCATATTTCCCACACACGCTAACACTCCCTTATATAGTCCTAATGACATCCTCATTCAGTCCTAATCAACAAGAAACCCCTCTAAATGACTATCAAGAATCACGACCTATTCTTATTTTTTCATATTAAGCAACAATAATCCTAGTAACATCATTGTACAGTCTTGGTCCCCCCAAAAATACCATTAATTTATCAGAAAGCACAGCCTGTTTTAACCATAATCAAACATTTACTTTATACACTTTCTGTTTACTTTTATGGAGTTCAATCTTTAGTCCTAGCAAACAGTGCCCCCACAAGTTGAATCTTTATCCTTTTCTCCTTGTCTTCTTCTTTTAGGAACAACTTCAACAAGTTCTCTATCTCTCAGTGATTAAAACTCGTCTTTTTGTAAATCCAAAATAAGATCATCATTAGGCCATTCTGAAGTAACTGGAAGTCCAAAGTAAGGTTCTTTTTCTTTAAAATCCAGTAAGGTATCCAAGTCTCTTTCTTCTTCCATGCCTTTATTATCCATATTGTTCTCCAAAATAACCAACTTGTCATTGAGTTGTTTCACATCAACAACAGTCTCATTTAATTTAGCATCCAGTTTGTTGTTCAAATTACTGAATTTAACTGAATAATTTTTTCTGCAAAATTTTGAAACATAATCTTGAAACCTTCATCCCTGCAGTGTCAAAAATACAAATTACATTATCTCCAAAGCAAATAGGGAAAGGAGAAAACTCCAATTATCTTGTTTAACAATCCTCTCCAATCAGCACAGAGTAAGTAGGAAAACAAAACGGAGTTCACACAGCTCCCATATCCACAGTCCAATAACACAAACCCAAGCACAGATTCACCAAAAAAATAATGAAATTTATTTTCTCTTGTTTCTTAAAAATTAATAAAAAATCCAAGCCTTTGCCTCTTTTGCTGAATAAACAAATCTACTGTCCCAATCAAAAAAGAAAATGGAATCTTTCCACAAAGTACCAGTAATCACCAAAAGGAGAAAGTACAGTGTAGCCAAAGAAAGCCTCTCTTTAACCATACAGAAGTAAAAAAAAAATTTTTTTTTAAGTGATCTTAGAAATGAGAGGGTCAGCACAAGTGTCTGTTTTTCATGGCTTCATCACGGTGTGGAACTTGATGGTAACCCCACCTTTCAGCTAATCACTCTCCAGTCAATCCCAAAAATCTTCATTTCGGATCTTCTCACTGTGAAGAGCTGTCTGGATGTCATGTGGGACGATTTCTGGGATTCTCCTTAACTCTGGAGAATTCTTTGGGCTCCAGGAAGCTTGCCTGAGCCTTAAATTGCTGCTACAATGACTCTCTGCTTGAAAAGGAGAGACGAGCATGCTGCCATTTCCCACTGAAAGTCGCAACTGTTTGCAGTTACGGTGGTGTTGAAAAATTAACTTTCCCACCAATCTTTGCATATGACCTTTGCAGGTCTGTACAAGTAGTCCTCACCTAATGATCACAATTGGGACTGGAACCTTGATCACTGAGTGGTCATTAAGCGAGATACCCACATGACTGCTTCACTCAACTACTGCAATTTGGGTACTCCTGGTTGTGGTCATTAAGTGATCCCCCAGGTTGTTAAGTGGACAGAGTGAAAGGGCTACCTGCCGAAGGATTTCAGCTCGGCACGGAACTGAAATCTTTCTGACAGGCAGTTGTTTGAGAGCAAAAGGGCTGCCTGCCAGACGGTTTCAGCTGTGCACGGAGCTCAAATCCTCCCAGCAGTCAGCTCTTTCACTCTCAAATGTTCCTGTAGCCTGCCAAAGGGTTTGCCCTCCTCTCCATGCATGGAGGGGAAATCCTTCATGGGGCTCAAGGAACGGAGCTCAAATCTTCAGGATTTGGGCTTCGTTCCTGCACAATGCTGAGAGTTTCCCTCTGTCCCCTCTGCTTGCAACCTTCCCTGCAAAGGGAAGACTATAAATGGCAATCACATTACCATGGGGTGCTTGGCAACCAATCGTAAATGCGAGCCAGTTGCCAAGCACCCAAAATGTGGCCCCGTGACTGGGGGGGCACATTTTATGACAGCCAGAAGTGTTTTACGGGCCATAAAGCACCCTTTCCAAGGTCATTGTAACTTTGAACCATCATCAAATGAATGGTTGTAGCTAAACAAGGACTACCCTTATAATTATTTATTGCCCTAAATGTTTCAATTTTTTCCATTAATCACCATCTTCAACTTCTGATATATGTTCTGATTTCTGAATAAATCTTACATTTGTATAACTGTTTCTTCATCCTTGGTAAAAGTATATTTCTTTCCAGAAATGTAATGGATGATGCCATTAAGGATGTACAAAATATTTCAATTTTATATCATTCCAAAGAAAACACGCATAGCTCCAAGAACAAAACATTTGATTTAAGTGGTGTCATTTCAAATATACCATTTGTTTTGAGTGCTGTTACTTTGTGCTTGCTGACTGGGGGCCTTTTACTCTTTCCAGTTCAGCCAGTACTGCAGCCTCGTTCCTGCTGCTACTGGTTTACATTGGATGGGGTAATACGGGAGTGGAATATTAAGAGAAAAGCAGAAGTTTAGTATGTGGCCACAAAGAAGTTTGCTTGCAGCTCCATCCTTCTTGGTATGCCTGGTAAGCTATTGCTGTTTATGCTTTATGAGCTTTCTGCTCTGGGAAGCCAGGGTTGCGTGGACAGTATGTAGGTTGCAATTAAGAGTTTATGCTTTGCATGTATTTTCAGCTATGCCTTATTTTGCAAGCCAACAGTGCAAAGCTGTGTACATGCATGCACTACTGTGCATCATACACAAATGTTGCCAATACTGTTGAGGTTGCATAGATGTAAAGACTAGTAAAATGTTGGTTGGTTACTTTTTAGCTTTGATATGCAGGTGCACTCTGTGCAAGCTCTTAGACTCTCTTGCTATATTTGGCTTCCAGCATGCACTTAAAAATGACAAAATGAATGACTTCATTTTGCTTTGGGATAGTTGGTAATCTCTCTTGGTAAGGTTTGTTCTGTTAAAGTTTTATTAATGTGGTTTATGTAGGTATGTATGTTATTGCCCTACTGTGAAGTTTTTAGAGTATGTTTTGCTTGTTTCTTGCAAGTCACATATTTTTTTTAGTTGTGCTGTAATCTCTCTCTTTCTCCCTCTCTCTCTCTAATAAGCCGTAGTGCAGAGTTATACCATGATGGATGCCTGCAGCACAATGTTATTTTTAAACAGCCCCTCATACCTAAGAAAATGTACTGACTGGCCAGTTTTTTTCCCCCCAGGGACCTGAAACACCTGGTATTGTTGCAATGGTAAGTGCCCTTTGACTGTTAAAACAGGTACTAATTTAAAGAAGATAGATGTGTTTGTTTACATATTTGTTATATTCCCTGCTTTTCTATTCTGGCAAGTACTTAAGTCATCTCATGAAATTTAAAAAACAAAAACAGAATACAAGTTTTAGAACAAAAAATTAACACTAACATTAATGCTAAAATCAATTCACAATTAAAAGCCTGGCAAAGAGATGCATCTTTATAGCTTTTCTAAACACTGAGAGAATGGGGCTCAAATGTATGAATGCATTCTGTAGCTTTGGACCAATGCAGGAGAAGGCCAGTTCCACATGCCAGACAGATGGGCCACTGAGAATAGGGAAATCTTCATAAGGCTTCTCCTACAGATCTCTTAAGTCAGACAAATTTAGAACAGGAAAGGTTACAAACCTGAGTATCTCTTAGATACTCTGTTTCTAAACCAACTTAATTACACCCTGTTAAGCAATTGGTTGAGCAGAATCACTTGGTTGAGATGGGTGGCCACAGAAATGAAATGAAATGAAATGAAATGAAATGAAATGGAGCAACAGGCACAGATCTTTCAATATAGGCATCGTATGATCTCTGTGCCTTGTGCCAATTAGCACCCCAGCTTCCACATTTAGCTTATTTTCTTTTCTGTACTGACTGACCATCTGAGGACATAGATTCTGACTGTGTAGAAATATTTAAAAACATTCATTTTAAAAATAATCTTCAAGATGACTAGCTGGTAACAGTGAGCATGATTTCTGTCTCTCCAACTTTTGTGGTGCTGGGATGAAAAACAAAGGAGAAAGGGATTCATACTGAATTTCTGTTTTTTCTTATGACTGAAACATGCAAAACGTTTAAAGTTTTATTCCAACAGAATAGTTAAGCTATTCCAAATGTTGCTGCATCTGGATGTAGCTGATCTGGAACATTCTGATGGGATGTTCTCAGCTTGAAAAAAAAATTATTTTTCATTTTGCTTACACTTCCACATGCCATATTAGGTTAGCACTCTGAAAACTGAATTCAAGGCCGTCCCAGAAAATGCAGTGTCTGCCTGCACCCAGCTAAAATCCTGAAGGTGTAACATACCCGTACTGAATACATTAGAAATGGCAATCCCATTCCACCTAAGTAAAATGTAATAACACCAAGTAATACAACTTATTATATAAGCAATTTTGCTAACACTAACCTTTTTGGGAAGATTTGCATAAGCCTTCAGCCTTGTCCACACTTCTTTTTGAAATGTACTGTCAGGAAAAACCTCAGTCACAAGCCCCCGTGAACAGGCTTCTGCAGCAGTCAGCTTCTTGTTGAAAAGCAGCATTTCAGTGGCCTGGTTAAATGGGAGAAGAAACAACTGCTCATTCTGACTTTCCACTAATTCTGCTGCTTCGTTATATATAACGAGTGGAAGAACACTTCACTGCATACTTCATAAATTATACTTAGGTTCAGTCTTTGGCATCTACATTGGCATCTACCCATAACTTTGGATAGGCAGAGTAGGGATAGGCCATTTGGACATGACTGATCAAAAAGCAGTTTTGATCTGTGACAAGGCAGTTCCCTACGTTATTACATATTTTGTAGCATTCTAGGGCTCCAGTACTGGTGTGCAAATTAGGTCGTTCTATACTGGATACTGAAGCTATTGTAATTTTTATATACCAAACATCTCTAGCAGCACTAGTACATTTTGGTCAGCTGTTAGGTATATTAAAATGTTATTAAAGTGCAGTCCTCACTATGCTCCAGATGGCAAATGAGTGCCTACCATTACATAAACTGACCCTGTTCTTAATTTTTAACATGTCTTCCTTCCTGAACAAAATCTAAGAGAAATTTTCTCTAACTCAACCATCAAGCAGATAAAATACACATATACTACCTTAGTTAACCCCATAATTTTGGGAAATGTGTATGAAGAACATCCTTCTGGAGTTTGACCCAGGTTGCTAAAAGGAGTATGAAATGTAGCCTGTGGGGGGAAAAACATTGTCAACTTGTCTTTTCCTTAGAAGAAAGAATATAGATAGCCATGTCACTTTGAAATGGTATGATAAAACTCTTTGTCATGCTTAGCCCTAACTGTGAATAATAATGGCACTTATATTATATTATATTATATTATATTATATTAGCTTTATATGTGGATATTAGAAAGCTTCTAAACAAAGATAACATGTGGCCTAAGTTGCAGGGATCAGTATTTCTGTGGTTTACATAACAGAAAAGAATAGTGAGGCTGCTCCAGTTACAACTGTTATCTACAAGAATAACTTTAGACGTGCACTGGACATTCCTATATTTACAGTTCTTTGTACAAGTGGCAAGACTCTTATGTAGTGATATGTAAAATTTAGTGATTCATGGATGGAATATTCTGGAGAACTCTGGAAGATTCAGTTCCTCCTCTAAGCTGTGCCAAATCTCCTCTGAGCCATATCCTACTCAGATGTAATTAATTATAATATGTTCATTAAGCCAGAATTATCCACAATATTGATGTTTTTTATGATTTGAAAAGTTTACCCAGAGAGTTTGTTTTTTATTTATTTATTGTATTTTTATACTTCTGGACTCAAAAACAACCCTTGGAAGTTTACATCATAAAAGCAAACACACACACACACACACACACACACACACACACTAAAATCAAGATAAAACACAAATCTACAATAATACCATAAGTGTAGTAATGACCATTCACTCTCCAGGGCCCTCCAGCTCTGTCTTTAATACTTCCAGAAGGCTTGCTGTTGTTAAGTGAGGACTGTGTGGGTCATTAAGCGAGGGCCTCACATGACTGCAACTTCTGACTTCCTGCTGGCTTCCCCATTAACTTTGCTTGTGGGAAGCCAGTAGGGAATGTTGGAAATCGCAATCGTGACCACAGCTCGCTGGATGCCCGGGTCACAATCATGTGACAGCGGGGATGCTGCAACGACTGGAAATCCAGAGATCAGTCGTAAGTCCCCCTCATTCAGAGCCATTGTAAGTTTGAACGGTTGCTGAATGAGTGGTCATAACCCGAGGACCACCTGTACAGCCCACATAAAATTCTTAGCTGTAGAAAGGGAAAGAAACAGCTTAAAAGAACAAGAGGATCCTGAGTATTTCCTCCTTCCCCCACCCCACTTGCAGTTTAAAGAAAGTAATGGAGTGCAGGGTTCTGCTCTGGTTTCTTAACCTCTGTGCATGCAATCTTCTTCCTTCACCAATCTTAACTGCTGGGAGAAGGCAGTGCAAAACTGGGCAAAAAGAGTGAAGGAGGAGCAAGAATCAACTCAGGACCATCTGGATTACTGACATTTAGATAAGTGGAGTGGGAGGTGGAGCACCAGCAAGTTCCTATCAGCAGCTTCTTCAAACAGGATTTTCCATTATTACAGCTGTTACCAACAGGCAGGAGACCTCAGCAAACCAGGAGAGTCCAAACGTTATAAGTTGGCTACAATATTATTGGAGAAATGTAACGAATGATGTCTCATTTTAGCTGCTTCCTTTTCTTTTATTCTACGCCTCTAGTTTGTTTGGTTTACTATTTCCTACTTCTTTTCTGAGCTCTATATAACATTGCTTAACTGAAAAAGGAATAGTGCGATGGTCATTATGTATGTATCTACTGTTGTTGTTTGATGGTGATATTCCCTTGTGTGGCAGGGTGAGCTGCCATATATGAAAACCGGAATTGTCTCTGTATAATTGTAACCATCCAAATTAAAGAATCTTCTTTCTGAGAGAGCTGATGGTGGAGGTAAGAAGATCAACACATAGGCAAGGGAGAAAAAAAAATCCCTAAACTCTGTGCAAGCTGGCATGTAAGAGATAAGGTATATAAAACAAAGACTAAGAAAGCCACAAACGGAGTTACACGGTGATGGGAGGTCTTTCAGGTTCTGCCAGAGATGCTGCCAGTGAGAGAGGCAACTGGATGATCAGGGAGCCCTGATAATCCATAGCAGAGGAGCAGGAAGGACCAGGGGATGCCTGCAGCAGACAGAGGAGGAAAAGAACCAAAACAGTGCTGAAAAGGCAGCCTTGGACTGAGTACCAATGCAGTGCAAAACCCAGGCAGTTCAGATGCAGGAGTCAGAGTTTGAGAAAAGGGACATACTCTCTTCTCCCCTTTCATTAGAGTAACGCTTTCTGGGAGCAACAATAGCCAGGCTAGTGAAGGAAAATGATTAGCATTCCAAGGCAAGCAACTGGGAAAGGCAGAAGTTACCTTGTATTTTGCAAGCTAAGTACTACTAAGGTTTTATGTAGGACTTCACTTTTGCACTTAGTTATGAATACACAATTTCTTTGTTATAATTTCTGTACTCACAAGTGAGTGTGCATGTGCCAGCTTGCAGGTGCTTCCAGAGAGTTTAGGTTTTTATTTTTTATTCCCTGCCTGCATCCTTCCATTCCAGCTTTCAGTAAAAAATAATTCAATTCTACAAAGAAAATTCCAGTTCTTATACATAGCATCTCACCCTGCCACACCTTGATCCTGCAAATAGGAAAAAAAGGAAGTCTGTATCTTGAACAAGTGGATGCTATTCCAACAAACGTCTATGTCTATGATGATCTAATGTTAGAGACAGGAGGCAGTAAAGCAGAAAACTTACACGGTCAGAAGCATATACAATGTCAAACAGCCCAAGAACAGTTACAGAGATCCCAACAGCTGGCCCATTTACCACAGCAATTAATGGCTTTGGAAAATCAATAAAACATTGAACGAAGTTTCTGTAAATACAAAGGAACAGAAATTGATCTACAAGCAAGATAATATTTTACAGGGACACAACATGTGAGCAATTTTTCTGTAGAAAAAAATCCCTAGTTTTCTCTGTTTTAGTTAAGATATACATTTAACAATTTATCGGATACTGATAGACGTATATCTTTCTGGGGTTTTAAAGACACAATATTTACCTTTGAAACATTCTGTGAGGCAAAAAGTGCCTTTGTTTTTACTAAAATACAATTCTGCTACTGGTTAAAACAGGTGAAAATTGCATCAGAAGATTTTTTTAAAAATTTCTTGGTTATAACACAACATTCACACAAATAACTAACCCATTTCTAGATCAAGATGCACAATGTATTTGTTTGACAGGTCTTTCTGCACCATGCACGTAAGAAAGAACTAAGATGTCATTTTGGATAGCGGAAAGTGGCTTCAGTTTGAATTCCTTTTCATATTCTTTATAATCTAATATTTATTTAATTGTTCATATCTCAATTTTTCAGGTACTCATGAGATAATTTGAGATAACATTGTTGTTGTTTAGTCGTTAAGTCGTGTCCGACTCTTCGTGACCCCATGAACCATATTGCGCCAGGCCTTCC